GATCCCAACAATGAATGTAACTGTACTGTATCCCTAAAATGTACCAATAAACTCAATTAAAGCTGAAAAAAATGGGTGCATTTTATGGTATATAAATTATGCCTTTGTAAATGTGAATTAAGAAGAAAAAACAGATAAATTTTTTTATGTTGGTACCCGGGATTGAACTCAGGTTCCTTGCACTTGTGAGGCAGGCAGCAGCCCCACTGAGCTAAATCTCCAGCCCTAAGATTTTTGTTTTGTTTTGTTTTTTTGACAGGGTCTCGCTATGTAGTTCAGCCTGGCCTTGAACTCGCTTTCTAGCCCAGGCTGGCCTCAAACTCATGCTGAGATTACAGGCATGCACCACCACACCCAGTTTGCCATTTTTGCTGTTTCTATTAATAATCTGCAACAATGCATAAGATTCTAATAAGATTACTGACATTTAGAAATGGGAAGAAAGGAGCTAAAGGTGTAGGGAAGGTGGGATGGGTAGGGGAAGAGTAAAAAGGGAAAAGAAAAAAATGTGAGAGAATGAAAAGATGAAAATAAAGTGTTTGTAGATGGGGAGGGGAGGAGGGGGTGAAGGGAGGGCAGAGGTAAGGGGAAAAAATGAGAATCAAGACTTGTCATGTAGAGGTACAAGATCCCAACAATGAATGTAACTGTACTGTATCCCTAAAATGTACCAATAAACTCAATTAAAGCTGAAAAAAATGGGTGCATTTTATGGTATATAAATTATGCCTTTGTAAATGTGAATTAAGAAGAAAAAACAGATAAATTTTTTTATGTTGGTACCCGGGATTGAACTCAGGTTCCTTGCACTTGTGAGGCAGGCAGCAGCCCCACTGAGCTAAATCTCCAGCCCTAAGATTTTTGTTTTGTTTTGTTTTTTTGAGACAGTCTCTCACTATGTAGTTGAGACTGACCTGGAACTCACTAGGTAGCCCAGGCTGGTCTCAAACTCAGAGTGATCCTCCTGCCTCAGCCTCCCAAGAGCTGGGATTCCAGGCGTGCGCCACCATACCTGGTTTAAGATAAATATTTTTATACAGTTGAGGGTAGGTTTTTTAAAGATAAAATATTGGAAATATAAACCATAAAATAAGATAAAAAACTATAAGCCACAAAAGAAAAGGAGAATTCTATTACACTAAAATTCAAAACTTGTGACTATCAAAAAGATACTTGTGTCAGTGTCAGAAAACCCCCCAATTAGAAAAAAGATATTTGCAACCCATATAACTGAAAAAAAGAGTAGTATTCAGAATATTTCACAAGCCATCATAAGTCAATAAGAAAAACACTGATGGAAAAATGGCCAGGATAGCATTAGGCAAGTTATAGGTGAAAAAAAACAATCCATGCATGGTAGCACATGCCTGTAATCTGGGCGCTTGGGAAGCTGAGGCAAGAGGATCACTGTGAGCTCAAGGTCACCCTGGACTACATTGTGAGACCCTGTCTCAAAAAAGCAACATCAAACATTACAAGTGAAGCAACAAAATAGCCCATAGACCTGTGAAATGGTGTGCAAATAACATCAAATTTTCATGGCTTAAAAACATAAGCTGCTGGTACCGGGCCAATCAGGAATGGAAACCATGCTGTGTTTGTACTGGGAGTACAGCTTCATGGAACAATTTGAAGAGAAATTTGGCAAGAGCTAGGAAAATTGTAGATGCCTTTCTCCCTTCACCTGACTGTTCCTCATCTAGCTGTTTACTGGAATCCTCAGGGTAGGTGCTCCAGGAATGTGTCAAGCAGTGAATTATTTATTAACCCCAAAGTGGGATCACCCTAACCCTAACCCTAATTGAGCAATGGAATAGACAAATGTAGCACAGTCACACAATGGAGTTGAGGTACTCATTTAAATGAACAAACTAGATCTATACGTAACAACATGGCAAGATCTAAGTACAGCTGTGCATAGTAGCACTTGCCTGTAATCCCAGCACTCTGGGAGGCTGAAGCAGGAGGATCACAAGTTCAAAGGCCCAGCCTGGGCAACTCAGGAACTTGGTGAGATCCTGTCTCAAAATTTAAAATTTAAAAAAGGTCTGGGGATGTAGTTTAGTGCGAAAGTCCTGGGTTCCACCCCTAGTACTGGAAAAAAAAAATTCTAAATGTGTGTGTACGCACACACTTCGTACGGTTGATCTCCTTACTACAGGTGCCGCATGTATGGATTCTACCAACCACCAATCAGGAATATTAGAAAAATTGCATCTGTACTGAATATGTACAGACTTTTTTTGGTCATTATTCCCCAAACACATGGACAATGGTTTGTGTTATATTATGTGTAAGTAATCTAGAGATGATTTAACGTATATGGGAGGGCAGAAGTAGGTTGCGTGCAAATATCATGCTGTTTTATGTAGATTTGAGCAATAATGGGAGGGAGAGAGAGAGAGAGCCTGTGAGAAATGCGGGTGTGTGGCTGAACCCTAAGAACTTCAGCTCCTTACTAGGGGGCAGTGTTGGAGAAAACAGCTGGGAGGTGCCTGCCCATGAGGACTTTTCCAGACTCCAGGACGTCTCAGCAGAGACCCATCCCCAACTCCGGATCCGCCAGGCAGCTCTTTTGAATGTGTGGTCTGCTGCCTCCCGCGCCTCACCCGTGGCAACAGCTCTGAGCAAGCGCCGGCCGACCTGCGCGCGGGATCCCAATCCTACACCACCTGAGCGCGGAACGCGAGATAAGATAAGGCCTGCAGCCGCCGCTTCATAAGCCCGCCTGCGTTTTTCTTCTCTGCTACCATCTTACTTGCTTTGGCTCTACAGGCTTGCTTTGAGGTTGGCACTTTCACATTTTTAATATAAATTCAGATTCTTAAAATGCTAAAGTCAAACCCTAATTTAACAACAATAATAACAACAAACAACAAATCTAGCTTCCCAATATTCCACCTGCCTTATGTTTCCAAAAAGAACAGGTGCCCAAGTGGCTTATAGACAAACACCTTCTTCCTAAAAGAGAAATCTTTCTCCTTTTGTGCATTTTAATCTCAATAATTCCAAACCAGTCTAGGGATGGAGCCTGCTGTGATTTTAACTCCTGTCTTTGGATTTCCCCCTTCTGAAACTGAGTTGTAGGGAGAGGGAGATGGATGTACTTCAGGTCTGTCTCTGACAAATCCCTTCCTGAACTTGCCTTCGCCTGTTTTCTGGGAGGAAGCTAAAAAAAAAAAAAAACTCAGCAACTGAGCTGGAGAGGACCAGAGCCCTTTTGAACTGCTGAAAGGTGGAAACCACTTCCCTACTCTGCCACACTGGCTGTCCACCTGGCTGGCTGCCCGCAGGCTGGCCCACATGGATCACATACATGAATACTCTTTTGCCCCTGACTTCAGCTCTGTCTAATTCCCTGGCCCAAGGTGGAAATGAGAGAGGATCCTCCTGCTTCAGCTTCCCAGAGTTCTGGGATTACAGGTGTGCCAAGTTGTTTTTAAAAGTGGTTTTTTAAAAAAATCTGACACAGTACTGCTGAGTTCTTAAGCCATCCAGTGACTAATCAGTTCTTGACTAGGTATTCAAAGTGCTAGTAAGTTACCACCTGAGTGGTACAGAGCAGCCATCTTTGTTTTCCCAGAGGACTTCGGGAACAGGTCTATACAAAGAACCTGTGAGTGGGCCCAGGAGTGTCTTCTTCTTTTTACATCATAAATATGTACAACTTTTATTTTCCAATTATATTTTAAATTTAGGGAAGGGAGCAGTTAGGGGGTATCTCATTGAGTTGAACATCCATTTGCCCTATGACCCCAGGAACCCATTTCCAGCATCTCCATGGCAATATTATTTGTTCTTGCAACCCAGGAGTGGTTGGTACAGGCTGCCCTTGTGGGGGAGGTTAGCCAACTCTTCCCTCTTACTAAAAGCAACAACAAATCCTTAGTCACAAACCAGTCTACCAGCAAGTGTCCACTAAATACCTCCTCTCTTTGCATTCTGTAGTTACAAGGTCCCTGGCCTGCTCCCTGCCAGCTGAGGTGGGAGGGGAGGAAGAGAATCTTTGTCGAGCTGAGGAAGCGATATAAGGGGGCCTTGAGGCCGGGTGCAGTGTGAAGAGGCAAGGAATAATAAGATAAAAGAGTAATAAGGTAATGCACAAGCAATGTTAGAGGTGTCCTCTGCACTGTGCTAAGGGCATCGTGTGAACAGTCTCACTCGGTGCTCCTGGAGCCCTGTGGGGTGGCATCATCATCCCACTTGTACATGATTCTGGAATGTGAGCTCGTCACCGTGATGCCCGGCTATCCTGAGAGAAGACTGTGGACAGAGTATAGGAAAGGCTGAGGAGTGCGGGAGACAGGCAGGCTAGAACAGAAGCCTGGGAGACAGGTGTTGCGTGGTGGAGAGACCCATGGAGGGGGCTTCCTGGGCTGGGCAGAGGGTCCCTGGCTGCAAGGGGAGGAAGCAGGGGTAGGAGAGCCCGGAAAAGCAGCCCTGCCACTGCGGGTGCTTTAGGCGGAAGCCACCCTCCCACTAGCCTCTTTTCTTTCACATAAAGGCGCGTTTGTTTCCATTTATCTGCTTGACTTTTCAGCCAAGATGCTGTTAGAAAAACATATTGTTCTAATTTAATCCACATGTGCATCCCCAGGACAGAGTCTAAAAGGAAAGTTCAGGTCCTGAGTCCCAGACCCCAGAGTCTCAGTCCCAGAGATATGGCAGAGAAGGGCTCTGGCCTCAGGGATAACCTGACCACCTTTCGGGGACCTCCCTGAAGCCAGTGCCCACCTACCTGTGCTCCGGTATGGAGGTAGAATGTCACGGAGAAAGGGATGTGCGGGTAACACCTATGGATGACCCCCTGCACCTGCCAGCAGCCAGGAGCATAGGGTGGGGCTTGAGTAAGTTCATGAGTGGGTTTGACTTTTAAGTGGCTCCGTCTCCTTCCTTTCTGACAATCACAGTCTCAGCTCTGAGGCATGCAGTGGTGACATGAAGCCATTCGTCCAGTCACGTGGGGAGATGCTGTCTGCAGGATGAAAGCCACCAATGACCCAGGTTCAAGGATCGGAGGTGGGTACAAGGCCATGTACAATCTTGCCCCAGCGCCTGGCTGTGTGTAGAGTATGATTTTACAGTCATGCCTCCCTAGTCAAAAGCCAACGGTAGGGAACCAAGCCAGTGTGCTGGTTTCCAGACTGTCTTCAAATTTTATCTCTATTAAATATAACTTATTTTGCATCTAATTATATTTTCTGGAGGAATCGGTTGTCCAAAATGAGAAAAGCTCAAAGGACCTTTCTCATATAGATATTTATTTACAACAGTTCTAAAGGATGGAATCAAAAAGTCTGTTTTTAATTCAAATTCTATAACCCTGTTGGTGGCTTGCAAGTCATGACCTTGCTGAGTTAGCTTGTAAAGAAAAGATAGTCCTTTTTTCCCATGCTCACCACCTCCACGGTTGCCTTCTCTTCCCCAGTACTCACCATCCACTTGATCTGGGCCGGATTCCTAAGCAAAGCCATGTTAAAACTCTCAGCATATGAGGAAGTTCATATCCAAGGCAGCACAGAAGGAGTGACACAAGGGACTTACATCTGGGACCTTTGGGGATCCCTCTGTCTCTCATGGCTTCCAAGAGTTGAGCTCATAATCTCCTCAGTTGGAAGGGGTTAGAAGCAGCCCTCAGAGCCCAACAAGGTCAGTACTCAAAGGATACTGCAAAAAAAAAAAAAATGAATTTGAGCAGATTGTAGTTTTTTAATTGCACTAAAACATATTTCTTTCAGAACTGGCACAGGGCTGGGGATGTGGCTCAGTGGTAGTACACTTGTCTAGCATCCACGAGGTCCTGGTTTCCAGCACAGGGGTGGGTAGCGGGTGAGAGTTAAAGAAAAGAAATGGCAAAATAAATGAAAATGGTTTGAGAAAATGGAAATAGGATGAGTTTCCATGTGCTGCCCAAATCAGAAAACAGTCCTTACTCACGACCACTGGGAAGTATTCTTTTTTTTTTTCTAGTACCAGGAATCAAACTCGGGACCTTGTGCTTGTAGGGCAGATGGTGAGACCACTGAGCTAAATTCCCAGCCCCACTGGGCACTATTCTTGAAGTTACTTCACCAAGTGGCTCTCTGGAGTCCTACAGTAAAAAGCTTGGGAATCTCCCAAGCTGCCAGGGATTCCCTTCCATCTCAAGACAGGGGCTCAGCTGTGCAGGCAGGATTCAGCTTCCTCCAGGCTGGGAAGGGTCTGGGAGGCTCTCCTGGGGCACAGTCGGCACCTCCTAGTGCCCTTCCAGCCAGCAAGGGTGGGGAGGCCATTCTGGATTTTGCAAGGACAGGCATCCAGGCAGGTTTGAACGACTCTGGTTCTATGAGAGTAGGTCAGCCACACTTCCATCCAAGGCTTTGCTGAACCCCATATGAAGAAGCTAACAGGCAATTACACAGCAGAGACACTTGGCAGGAATCTGGGGCCAGCAAGTAGGCAGGAAAGAGAGAGCTGGAATGCTCAGTCCACAGATTGAGTTCAAGCCTGACTTACGGATCCCATAGTGAAAGTCTAGGACTCTGCAGCTCCTGAAGCTGGAGGGCAGGCTGGGAGGCAAGGGGCAGGAGGTCCTCAGATACATCACTAGGTGCAGCAGCAGATACTAGCCACTAACACAGGCTCCTGCAAAGAAATCTGGTCCTGTGAGGGAGTCGAATAACTCTTAGTTGGGCAGGGCTCTTAGTTTGGTTTATCAGATTGTTCATCTCAAATTCCAGTTACTAATTACAATGAAACTGCCTTTTACCATTAACCACGTTATTAAAGGTAGCACAGATGTGTGACTCTGTGGGCATCAAGGGTAGTGATGACTGCCCTATGCTCCTCTATGGAAACTTTCTTATGGTTTAACAAGAATTTGGTGTGATTCTTTTTTCCATGAAGGCCTGGGTCTCTAGACATCACGGTGTACGGTAACCCTGTAATCTTGGGGCTTAATCAAAACGTACTCCATCAACCTATTCTGGTGTTCCTGAATGAATGTTTATTTTAAAACAATTTGCTATGGCTTTTTTTTTTTTAAGGAAAGAGAAGGGAATTTCCTGGAGCCAGATTTCTCCCTGCCCCTAAGCAGGTCTCTCTGCTCTAAAGACTGTGTCAGATGTGCAGGTCATAATTAACCACAGAGCTGTTTGGGAGAAAGAGAAGGAGAGGGCATTTGACAAAGAGTTAACAGATGTCATTTCGGTGGCTGCTGGCCCACTGCTGCTGGGTCATTTGTTGGATGGAAGCCGATTCTGCTGCTGTTGTAAACACAGAGTAGTAATAATTATATGCAGGCTGCATTAGGCATAACAGATTGGATGTATAACATTCTGTTAAAATCCAACTCATATCCTGTTTCTCTCTAGAGATACAATGGAGACGACCCCTACCTCCTAGTTGTTAAAGTCGTCTGCAAGGATCCTCTTGGACTTCCCAGTAGGGAAATGGGTCATGGTCCTTCCTGGCTAATTCTGCCGAGGACCGGGATGGCACAGAGCTCTGCTCAAAAGCGACTCTGCGCGCATACTTCAGTGAGCCAGCCCCACACCACACCACAGAGCTGCTTTTTTCCATTTGAAAAATGAAAGAATTAAATTCAAAACAAACAACTTCAATTTAACACCAAACTACAGGATAACCAATCTTAAAAATGTCACAGCGTAATGGATCTTAATACCCATAGAAAACACAAAAACAGCACCATTGTTCCCCAGCCATGCAGAGCAACCTCACAGAATCTCAGTGAAGGAGAAAGAAGGGAAAAACACCTTATTACTTCCAACCCCTGCGAGCCATTTTGGTCTCCAAAGGTTTTAGGCTGCCCGAGGCCGTGTGTCTGCGGTGTTTCGGGAAATGACTTGCCTTCTCACGAACGCTGCTCTGTTCTGCAGCGAGGCTGCCTGCCCCGGAGCGGCGCCGCTCCATTTCTGGTTAACTCTTCCTTCCCAGGCCTGCCGCTCACAGGAGCAGGGAAGGCAGGGCCGAGGGATGCTGAGGCCACTGCAGCCCAGCCTCCTGCAGGGCAGCCAGGACTGTCACCAAGGAGCTTGTGAAAGAAAGCAGCTCCAGCAGACCAACTAGCTACCCCCTGTGCTCTTTGGAAAATCTATTCTCAGAAAGCAATTGTCACTGAGCAATTGTCATCAAAACACACAGTGCACTGAAGCCAAGGGGTAGCAGTAGGGCCTTGTGGGACAAGACTGGGCAATCCAGCCTCTCCTAGTTCCCAACAGGAAAGAGCTCCCTTTCTGTCCCTGGCCTGGGCAATATGTTCTTCTGGTTAGTAGGATACAGGCAGGCTCCAGAGTGCTACCCAGGGATGACTTGGACCTGAGGAGTTTTACTTCTCTTGCAACACTGAAGGAAGCCTAGTGACAGAAAAATGTTTGCACTGCACATCGAGCTGAGCGATGACAGAAAACCACTTAGCACTTAAGAGGTTAATACAATTCCTAAGTGTTCGGCAATCACTGCAATTTAGTGCCATTTCGATTATTACACAATAAACAGACCATGTTGTCTGGAAGCAAATTTTTATGAGTATAGCTGAAGGGGCTGCAACTTATTTAGCTGCTGAAACTCCGAGGAAAAGAGCATTTCCGAATGCTAACACCACGGATCAGAAATACAGGTAGCAGAGAAAGGTTATTCTCAGGTCACTGCTCCGGCAACTCTACACCATGACCTTTAAAATGAGTATGTCATTAGAGGGAAGTTAAGTTCACCAAAGTGTTCTTTACACACAACCATTTTAATAACCATATTGTTGAGTTTCAGAGTGAAAGATTTGGGAATTTCCAGAAACTTGTTACATTCAGGAAGAAACATCATGTTAACATGAGCTGGGAATAGGAGAACTGTTTTGGCTACTCCAAATATGCATTGAGTCTACATGCTGTCTCACACACACATGTGCACATGCACGCACATGCACACCAGCCCATTCATGGACATTGGCTATGGCTGTATTTTATGGGTATATGGCTACAATGATCACAAACCAGATCAAATCCCTGCTATAATAAGATCATAATAAATCAGACATATAAGTGGAGAATGGGATCGTGGAGAGATGCAGCGACTCTCAAAGTCTGTCCAAAATTTCATGGCATACTGAGCTCTAATGAGGCCTTGCTTTCTCCAAGGCCCAGATAGGTTCAGATTTGGGGAGCTGAGCTTTGCTCCAGCTCCACCAATGGAGGAAGGAAGTCACCCCAGATATACTTCAGGATTCAAAGTTAAAATGTACACAGAACCTTGATATTCAGATGTTTTAAGGCTTGCAGGGGGCTCTCATGTCCATGAGGGATCTCTAGCAACCAAACAGCCTTCTTGTGAACAAAACAAAGAAGTTATTATTTTTACCTTTATTTTACAGATGAGCTAGCTGAGGTTGTACCTAAGAAGTAATTACTAAGTTAGTCTACTCCAACACCTGCTACATCTCAGGAGCCCCTCATACCAAAGGGAATAAAATCTGGGGAGATTGGACACCTAGGCCCCCTTCTTAGGAGAACTGCACAGTCCTGTAGATAAACTTCATAGCCCCCAGAGGGGCTTAATGTCTTCACCCTCAGAGGTCCCCAGGATGAGGCAGCAGAAAGAAGGTGGCAGGTGCTATGACCAGATGAGTTTCTACCACATCACCAGCAGACCAGCCTGCTTGATGCTTGAAATCCTGCTTTTAAAGGGCAGTGATCTCAATCATTGGAATGCACAAGAATCTCTTGGGGTGCCTATTGCAAAGATACATTTCTGATTGAGTGGCTCTAGGATGGATCCTAGGGACCTAAATAAATAGGCCATTCAGGTGGATTCTCCAAAGAGGTGGAAGGAAATGCACACCTTGAGAAGTCTTCATTTGAGATCATGTTTATTTGGGGGGAAACTTCCTTCTTAGGTCTTTCAAGAATGCTAGACTTCTTAGGGGCAGTATGTTCGGTTCTTGACATGAATTTATGCCAACCACCCTCCAGTCCTTCTGTTAATCCATCCATCCTTCAATCCTTCCATCTATCCTTTCTATCCATCTGTCTGTCCAGTAATCCATCCACCCACCCATCTATCCTCCTACTCAGCAGATCCTTCCTGGACACCTATTCTATGTCAATCTGTGTTCTGGGTGCTGGAGTGATAAAATAGGTACCAGCAGGCCTAGGGGAGAGCAGATCTTGAGGAGGAACTGGGGACTCGGAGAGTAGACACCACTCTGGAAGACCCAGAAGTGGGTGAGTCCACCACAGTTGTACACGCTGCTGACCTTGCTTCAGGGTCCCAGAAGCAGCTGACTATGACAGAGGGCTCAAAGCACAGTTTGAAACCCAGGAGCAGTGATCATCTCCCTCAAAAGGTAAATTCTCTCCCCCTCAGAAAGGAAAACGCTGTTCATGACCATTGCATGGTGAGACAGAAGAGGAAGTATAAGTATGAAAAATAGTTGCAGGAGGAAAATGACAGCAGAAGCTGCAAAGAGAAAACTCTGTACCTAGAGTTCCATAGAAGGCCAGGCAAGGCCTATTAAGACTCCAGAGCCACTAGGCTTAGAGCCTTCAAAATTCTATTTTGAATTCTCTTTGAAATGTTTATAATTGGTCATTCAGAAGAACCACAGTTCTTATAAAGCCATCACCCATGTGGTCCAGTCTCAGGGCAGGGTTTCAGGCAAAGAAGCACAATTGGTCAGCCTGAACACAATCTGAAAGTAAGGCGAGCTCCACGCTGATATCTCCATGGAACTGGGAAGAAGACACACAGGTCTCAGCATTGCTTCTTAATCCCTTCCCTGCTCCCTAGGTTCTCCTGTGGATACCGCCGTTGCCTCACTTTGCAACAGTCGGCAGCACTGTTCCCCTGGCCCCTCCTCCTTCACCCTGCTTTCCTTCCTTTCCTTTCTGATCCTGCGGTACCAAGTCCCTGAAGGACAGGCCTGGCTCGCCAGAGAGGAAAGTTGCTGGATGGTCTTGGGCTCCTTGGACTCCTTTCTTATCTAAAAAGCAGAGGCAATGCCATGATTTCACGGTATTTGTGGGAAGAGTTAAATGAAGTATAAATAAAGCACTGAATAAAGGAATTGGTACATGGTGGACAATTAATGAATATTTGTTCCCAATGGAAAAACTAAATGTAGGGGGAAAATCACCATATATCCTATTTTTTTGAGAAAAATGTATTATTTCACATAAAAGTAGGATATTATAAAATATATTTGCAAATTTAGGGGAATGCTTTCATAATTCACAGCAAGGAGAACTGGAGAATGAAGTTACTATTATGCAATGTTTCCCCCAAAGAATTCCCATATTGATATTCTAATGAAAATAGGCTTCTCAAATCCTGCATTTTTATTATGTGTGTCTATGCTGGCATTTATGTTACATTCTGAGTTAACAAACATCAAACGCTAAAAAATTACATATGCATAAAATGGGGAAAGGGATACATATCTTTTGTAAATCTCAGTAGAGTATACTCAAACCTCTAGCCCTACCAGATACTCCCGGATTAAACCACATGGCAATTTTGGAATAAGAGAACATTAATGAATACAAAACAATAAGAAGGCTGCTTGGGCATGTGCTAAAAAAAAAAGAAATCAATCAAATAAGACTATGCCCTTATCGTTGGAAGTTTCCTAATGAATATCATTCTCCATAAAGAACCTCTGGCTCACTCGTGTTCTTTCTGTTTGTTAAAATAGCATTCAAGTCATTTTATGGAACACAAAGTTAATGCAAACTTGAAACAAAATAAAAAGGAAAGAATGTCAAAAGAACAAACTTTTAAACTCTGTACTTTTTATTATTTGATGCCATTTCTAACATGTTAAAATTGATCAAATAGAAAGCTGTGAAAAGAGAAAAAATTAAGCCAACTAGAAAAGTGTGACTTGGATTTAATATTTTATAATTGCCAAGGGACATACTGAGATCAATGAATTTTTGCCTGAGATGAACGTCAGAAAGAGATGTACTTCAGTCTTTTAGGGAACATTGGTCTATTTAATTTTTGTGTCTGATGCATGTGAAATAGGCCTGCCTCAGCCTTCTTTCTTTGCCAGGGGCATTGCTGGCGGCGGACATTACCAGTTTTAATAGGCTGCTGTCTGAGGAGTGGTGAGGGATCCGATAACCCATCCACTCTAATGGATCTGCCTATTTATTCACTTACACCTTTTTTTTTCCCAGCTAATTTTAGTTTTGCATGCTGAGTTGTTTCACTTGGAATTAAATGAATAGAAACAAAGGGAAAAGCCTTTGCAGCTAATAAACCAAGATTATCTTTCTGGCCCCTCTCAACAGGCTTCTCCACACATCAGGTATACCATCTGAGAACAGATTCACTGTGGCATTTTCTCCACTTGTTGACAAAATTAACATTTTATACATGCTCAAATTTAGAGAAAAAATTAGGTTATTCGAATCACTTTATGTATAAAGTGCTGTTGTTTGTAGTAGATCTAAATGCCCAGCCTCAGGCCCCAGACGTCCTTAGATTTCAGACACCGGTCAGTGACTTCTCCTGCCTGGGGGTCACCCCAGAGCACTCTGCAGGGTCATACAAACAGGACAAATGCTGAAATGCTTTGCTTTGTCTAATGGAAAATCAGAGACGTACAAGGAGGCTGTGCCTAGGTGCCCTTCAACAGAAATAACAGAAGCCAATGATTTAAAAACATCCTTCCCCTCCAAACTCTCTCCTTATGCCCAGAGACCTTGAAGAAGGTTCCAGAAACCTTTCAGATGATGCCTGCCCTGCAACATGAACAGGATAAAGCTGCCCAATATAAGACGGAGGTGTGGTAGGGGAGGGAAGCCAGCGTCTCACCTTCTTAATAAGAGCCATTTTCTACTATGGGCTCTTAAATTGGCACACACACCACAACTGCGGAAAGGGTAGACAGGACTCTGTCCTTCCCCACAGTACCTCACAGTGCCAGCAGGTGACAGGGGCAGCCACCTCCCTGCTACCAGTAAAGTCCTCCTAGGATGAACATCCTTGCTGACAAAAGGCATTC